TTACAATTGAAATAATGTTAATGATGGTGGTGGATCAATTGTCTGCTTCGATTCACCTCACGTCAGCATCGCCACTTTCCCGTCTCCAAAATGTTGGTATGCATGGATGCAAGGTTGTGAAAAAGTGCACAATCATCCGTCAAGTGGGTTTTTACAGATCCAGTTAGAAGTGATGTGCGCTCGAAATGGGGTCTGAAAGATGCATACGCAACGGTTATAAATGAGGCTCCTTGTCTCAAAATACGCTAAGTGCGTCAGTTCGCCTGCTTTAAAATGCCTCTCCACGTGTCTCCCATGACCACTTATGATCAGATCTCACTTTCTCATGCTGTATGCAAATGAGCATGTACGTCATTTCTGTTTGCAAAAACTAAACTGTTTGGCTGAACAGATGTGGCCATTGTCAGTGCATTTTTTTTTTTGGTGTGAGTGTGTGTCTTTGTGTTGGTGTGAGAAGGAGTTAGAGATAGAGCGGAGACAGGATGGGGCCGAGTGAATCAGTGCACAAAGCGTTACAAAGAAAAATTAAATATGAAGATTTCCTCATTAATAAAAAAATCATTGTGCTTTGATCAGTGTTAATGTTGTAACTGTGGTCACAAATCCACGTGCGGGTATTGAGAAGAGCTTTTTGGGTTATTGTGAAACTGTGGCCGGTCAGAGGATGTTCATGGCGTTGTGTTCACATTGTTAAAAGGCTGTGACCACGTGTCCCAGACCGCCTCCCAATGTGCTCTCTGTGATCAGGTCTCCGATGAGTCCTCTGTGTGTGTCTCACATCTGTATCTATATCTCCAAAACATCTCCTCCTCCACCATCCTGATACAAGTCATCGCTTGCTCTACCCATGACAACAATGGGTTCAGTATGGCATGTACTGATGTGACAGATATGATTGGCGGCAGCTGTGATACTAGAGATTAAAATAACCAGAGTGTTTTGTTTGTGACCATTTCATATCTCCGCATGCGTGATTCCGTTATGTTACACAGCCCATATGAAAGGACACCTCATGTTGCTCTTCTCTCATGACTACTACTGTGTTAATGTCTTAACTGTTCTCTCTCGTGCTCTCTCTCGTGCTCTCTCTCTCTCTCGGTTGTTAATGATCAGATATTTATGGCCTAAAGATCACAATCATGATAAGATCTCTGTACGTTCTGCATAAGCCAAATAAAAGCCTACAACAGCCAGGAATCAACCACAGACATTAGAATAGTTCCTGGTGATGCTCTGTCAGGTCTGTATTTTAGCAATCTTTGCATCAAGCTTGTTTCAGGGAGGTCAGAATGTGAAGCAGTGCCTGAGTTGGACTGAGGTCATGTGACTGATCTGGCCAGTGAAGAACATTTTATAGTTTTGCCATAAAAACGTGTTGGTTTACCTTTTTTAATGTTTGCTATGATTGTGATGCTGCATTTTCCAGAAACCACAAGTAACTCACGGTTCACACACTACTGATGAGAAAGTCCTCGAACACACCTGAAGCTAGTTCTTATTTAAATCTCCTACTTATTAGTCGTTTTCAGACACGAACTGCACATGTGCTCACTGAGACATTATCCAGAGCTTTCACTGGGGGGCTGACCCGGAGAACCTCCGGAGAAAGTCCAGAGATTATCCGAAATTCAGTGCATGTCTGAAAGCAGCTCTTGATTCACCCACACAATTTTACAACATTACTTATGGATTATTAATGTAGTGTTCCTCGTGTCACCACATCTCACCTGACGTGCTTTCCATGGATGAGAGCGAGGAGACAGAGTTTGACCATGTTCCACGAGGATTTGTTTTCATACCGCATCAGATTCAGAGCCATGGCAACATGTGAGTGACAGTTGTCACAGCAGAGGTTGTGCTTCAGAGAAAACGAGAGAACAAAGGTTTATTGGTCTATCATTATTATTATTATTTGGAAATAAGGGTAAAATCCAAACACCTTATTACCATTCTGTGCTTATACTCCTCTGACGCATCATGCACTGCTGTGTCCCAGGCGTTGGAGCCACTAGCGTAGACTTTGCTTACGTCAAGCATCCAGTATCTACATTCAGAGAGAAAAGTACTGTATATGCTGTACTGGCTGAAAAAATCTTTGTGACGGTGCAATCCCAAAGATTTTCATTTACTTACTTTGTTGGTCTTCCAAAAGCCATGTTGTCTTCCTGCAAAAACAAAAACATACTGTAGTATTTCTGTAGTTCAAATAATACGTGTTGAATCCTCCTAGACTTGGTTCATGTCACTTTTTTGTTTGTTTGCAATAGGTCCGTAGTTGCAAAGCAAATCATTTGACAGTAAAACAAATCAGCCCATGATAAACAGTCACATGTGCACTAACATGTTTTGGGACTCTGACTCATGTTTGGATCTCTGTCCAGTTTATTGGTTGGTGGCAACAAGGGTTGGTTTTAACAATTTAGGAAATGTGCCTCACATCCTGTTTGTCTTAATTCACCATCAACTTCGTTTGTGTGAAATGGGCAAATGAGTCCAAGTAATAAACAGTTTTTTTTATATCCACAGTGACTCCAAATGGGGCTTTAACAACAGATAATTATTTTGAATCTAAAGCACATCTCGCTGGAAAAGCTTTATCATAACAGTCCAATCTACTTTTTTTAAAGTTTTATAAACAGGCTGATTTCAAGCCGCCTGTAGGTGACGCTGAAAACACATTTCAGTGGACTACTAAAAACTACAGTTCAACACTTAAAGCTCATACTCACTGTGCCAGAACACAGCCAGTGCTAGAACCTAGAAGCGTCATAACAATCCCACACTCGCTCACTGTGTACAATGCAGAGGATCTCGTGCTATGTTCTCACATCGGCTCCTCAGGACTTTGCGGACTTGATACTAGGGGATACGCCAGGTGGATAAAGTCCACAGAAATTTGGACATTTGCGTTCACATGTACACGTCCACTGGAGAAGCTCAGGACGATTTCCAGAGTTCAGTGCACATCTGAAAGAAGCTATAGAGGCAACAACATTTCCTCAACATCAGCCACTGTAAACAACACCTCATCACAGTCATTACTCACTGAGACAAAGTATGGTCCGGCAAAGTCTCGAATGACTCCAGTGGAAGTGCAGATTCCCATGTGACCAATAAATGGAAACAACCATCTGAGAGAGAGAGAAAAAGTATTTTAAACACAACATGTTTAGGTCTCAAAAAAGGAAAAAGGGGGTCAAGGCCTTTGAACACTAGATTTGCGCACATTTTATGTGAAATACATTTTCATGCCGTTAAAATTTTTCAAACCTGTTTCCAGTCAATAGGTGCAAGCTTTCACATCAGCAAGAGAATTCCAATGAATGATACAGCAGCTTTTTTTGGGGACCAAGGTCAATTTTTTCCAACTTTTACACCTGAATCCAGTCAGAGAGCATGTTGTTTACAACATCACATTTTGAAGTAATATAACTTCCTCCTTCAATCCAGTCTGATATAAAGTACATGTATTTCAGCTATTTGTATTAAGCCATTGCTCACAGTTACTTTTGCCTATATAATGTGGCACCTTTCCGACTTGAAGCTACAGGTGAACAGGTGATCCAACTCCTGTGTAACAAATCGACCTTGGTCCGAAAAAAATAACAGCTGCAATATTGCTCAGTGAAATTCAATCACTGATGTCAAAGTTTGCATTGAACTTCTAAAATATTAACATGCAAATGAAATACATCAAAAACATCTTCTCACATGGTTTATAAATTCAAACAGTAGAGCAGTTTTTCTAGATGCTTATGTTTTGCAGAAACAGACTCATTAGTTTGCAGAGCTTCTGTTTGATCAGGTCATGGGACAGGGACAAATCAATGATGTCTTTATATTGTGCACAACTGGCTTTACTAATACTAACACTGGATTAATAGATAATGGAAATCAAAGGCACTGAGTAGACACACAGAGAAACAGACAGACACACACACAGCTATTCTTATTAGGACTTTCTGACTTTCATTCATTGTGGACAACCTGACCAAACCTTAAAGGGATGGTTCACCGAAAAATTTAAATTCCCTCATTACCAATTCACCACTATGCCGATGGAGGAGTGGGTGAAGTGAGAGTCCACAGAACACTTTAGCAGTCTCAGGCGTAAACAGTGTTGCAGCCAAGGTGACTCCTTCTTCAGATGGAATAAAACAGAGAAAAAACAACATGCCTCTGCAAGCCCCGATTTCAGATGTGACTCTAAACATGTAAACAGTCATTTACATCATGTTTTTCGGTCATTTTATTTTTCGTCTGAAGAAAGAGTCACAAAAACACGCTTCCATCAGCATGGCGTGGAGTAGATCATTTATGAATTCATCTTTTTTGAGGAACTATCCCATTAACCCTCACTAAGATAAATGACCTGAAGTGTTGCCCATAGTTGCACTGTCTGAATGTGTGTGTGAATGGCAATAAACTGCTCTGTATAGCACTGTGAGTGGACATCAAGAATATAAAATATAAATACAGAACATTTACCTTCACCTAACCACAACATACACCTCACCCCTGCCCAGGACCTCAGAGGTGAAGTTTTACCCCATTGGGACCAAACGTCCCCCCATGAGGTCTACTGGTCCTGACAAGGTCTAGGTCTTTATGCTGGACACAACACACACACTCACACACTGTTTACACGCAACAACAACCATATGGTTTAAGCCCTTCAATTTGAACTTGTGACTAAATACTACCTCATCGTTCCAGTGGTAAGAACACAGTAACTTTATGACACTGTGATCATTTATCTAAGGATCATAAGCTTCACCCTCCACGTTTTGTTGTTGTTGTTGTGTCTCCCATCTTTATTAAATGAGTGTTCTCAGGCTTTGTAATTGTTTGTAATGCGTTTAGATTCATGTGTATTTCTAATGGGAGTCATCGAAGTACATTTCCTCAGTGTTCAACACAGCATGTGTCAGAGGGAGCGAGCAACAGGAGAGGGACCAGTACGTAGCTAGCTAAGCTAAGCTAGTGGAGCTGTCACTTGGTGCCGTGTCCCCGGGGCTTCGGTCCGGAGGCTCAGCGGAGGTTCACTCACGATAACACGGGGATGGGCGTCCACACGACGCAGTAAGGGAAGCGGCTGGTCTCGGGGTTGATTCTCTCGGACGCTGTGCGGTAGTTCTTCATGGTGTCTTTCTCGACAACATCCGCCATCATCAGCTGAGGAGAATGAACTTCAGCTGTCCCACTTCCAGCCGCGTCAAGTCAGCCGACCGCACGGGCGCGAGGCCGGAAAACGTGCGGCGTCAGCTTCAAAATAATACAAAAAGAAATGTGGGGATTCATTGAAAGAAAGGCGCTGATTATGAATATCGTTACCACAATATAATCATAAACATTTTATAGGAAAAATCATAACAGAAAACACGCAAGCAAACTGTGTATGAATAGCAATATAAGATGCGTTGAGCGATATAGAGATTTTACTTTGAAAGGCACAAGGGGAAGATTTTAATTTTCTGTAACTTGACACTAATAGTGTTGCTCGGCAGCAACAGCAGCTTCCGGGGTTTCTGCGAGCTCAACAGGGAAATGTTTTAACCTGAGTGACACACAACACATAGTGAATTAAAAATACTTTTAATCTAGAAAGACGTGGTGCAAGTTTCCCTTTAACTTTACTATCTACAGGCAGTTTTCATTTTCATGTTGAGATCAGGCTATTCATAAAAAACACAGCCACATCCACCACAGCAGTCATGGTCATGTTCACAAAAACTAGTAAAAACTGAATTTATTAGAAATGTGTGATCGTCCAATAACAGTTCACTACTTGTACAAATATTCTGTATATATATATATCATCAATAACCAATAGATATGTTTACAGCAATATTTCACTCATTTTACTAGATTCAGGCAATGCCATTAACATGAAAAGTGTTGATCAGCATAAAATATACCTTTTGATAAAATAATTTAAAAGAGAGAACACAGGAAAAATGCATTGATTCCGGTTTGTTCAATGTCAAGATTTATTGTTTTTTTGCAGCTTTGTATTATTGTAGATTAGATATCCATTGTTTTTCATTGATCAGTTAGTAGCTTTTTACCTTGACCTTCATGAAATCAGCATGTGCAATTATCGATATATTTACATTTTATAGATAGAATTTGACTGATCAAGAAAATTATTAATTGGTATTGAAAATAGTGATCATATTCAGCCCTGGTCATGAGTCACAAGTCATCACCCTGAAACATATGACCCTTGTTTTTTATTTTGTCTTGCATAACCCATCCTTTTACTTGCTAAGACTGTTAAATAATTCCAAACAAACAGCTAAAATCGAGGATGTGTACAGTCGGAGTCATTGGCAGCATTAAAAATAACAATAGTTGTGAGGGCCACAGCCACAGAGGGTAATATACTCAAATTCACTCCCTCTCATTTGTTTGCTACACACAGGTTCATTTCATTTGTAGTCAGCCACACCAAACAATCAAGATCCGTTTGCTGATTTGTAATCTGTTTATTTATTTGTTAACCTCACATTGTTGAGATGAAGTGCACACATTTTAACACTGTAGGGTTACACAGAGAATTGTTTTGTGATATTAATCATTTGCTTCTTTGTCTTTGAGTTACCGTGATTGTTGGGGGAGGTCCCTTCCTGCTGCCAAAAGGCATGGCTGAGGGCTGAGGACACTTAAATCCTGGAGCCGGCTCATTGGGCCGATCCATGTGCTGCTAGGTCTTGACTTTATAGACCTAATTATTACATTTCGGGTTTATAATGTTTTATATTTCTTTTGCAAAATAAAAAGGTTTTTATTTACAACTCCTGTTTCCTCATTGTCTCACTGCTTGGTCCCTTACAATAATCAAGCCATTTACTTCATCTGTCCTGTGCTTTGTATGACCCTCACACTAATATCACCACTTTGACTGTCCATCAAAAACAATTACATTTGAAGTCTTCTCTGTCACCAGGTAACATTGTTCAATACCATCCTGTGTTGTACTGCTGTAAAGGTCCATAGAGCAAATTTTGGGAACACAAAGTCCAAATCTTCAATTCAAGTGCTAGTGTGAGCTGCATTTTATAGGTCTGTTTATTTATTCTATTATTAAGATTTAATTGTACCACAAGTGCTTCAATGGGACTTTTATGCAGTTTGTTGCTAAATTTGTTTTCATGGCAGCACAGAGAGAGCTCTCCAGCACTCAGAGGTGCAGGACTGCAGCTATCGAAGGAGTTCTCTATAAGGCAGCTGTGGTGGAGACGGAAACAAAGATGAACCCGAGGGATCTGCCGGGGCCCTGTGTAGTCCATACTGAGTCCCATTAGATGTGACAGGTGATATATTGTGGGAAGGGCAAAAACAAACCAGTCAGCGAAAGAAGGTAGACGTTGATAAACGAAGGCACACTGAGCTCATCATCTGGGAGCCGAGGGAATTCTCTCGCAAAATGCCACCTCGATATCTGGCCGAGCCGTTCAGCCCAATTAGAGCAGAGGAAGTGCTGCTTTAGGGACTGTAACTCTCTGACAGGGTATCCTTTTCAGTCAGAGGTTTGAAAAGTAAAATGTCACACATCCACATAGTTTCAAGTCCAGCTCCCTGGGCTGTGATTACAGCAACAAAATGAAATGAGCGTCTCATTCTATGCTTTCACAGACACAGCTGAAAATGTACATTTATCAGAGAAGTTGTATAAAAGACTGAGGAAGTTAAAACGTACTGTTTATTGTTTTCATGGTGAGAAAAATGTCCCAGTCAATGCAATCATTACAAAGCGACACAGCAATTTCCTACAGACCAACATGCCAGCTGCAGCTCCCGAGGGATGAAGTGTTCTTCATTAAAGGCAAATGAAACCTTGTGAAATGTCACTTATCTAAGACACACATACACACACACACACACACACACACACACACACACACACACACACACACACACGTACACGCAATATACAACTCCCATAATGAATCAGTCCATTGATTTAGTATAATTTGTTGGATTGTGATATTGATGTCCTGTTCTGTGCCGTGCGGTACACTAATTTTCACATTTCCATCACATTAACCTGCAGTCAATGTTGTGCAAGGCTCAGTGGGACAAAGTGAGGAAACTGTCCTCGAGGCTCCAGGGTCAGTGTGAAAAATTTAATTTACGATAATTTATCAAATCGACTTTGCACCACTACAGAAGAACGTAAACGGAAATATTCCGTGCTAAGACAATGGCAGGCCCTGATATTGGGGTCCCCAACTGTAGAGAGGCCCCTATGTGAGTAGGGTGCATATTCCATTCCGTCCTCTGTAGCCCTCATTGTTTTGAGAGTTGCAAGAACCAATCCCAGTAAACTTCAGGAGAGAGGCGGGGTGCACAATGTACAGGTTTCCAGTGTATCACAGTTGCAAAGTAGAGAGACTGAGAACCTTTAGTCAATTTAAAGTCTCCAATTAACATAACCCCAATTAGCAGGTCTTTGGACTGTGGAAGGAACAAGTAACCACAAAGACATGCAGAGAAGATGCATACTCGACACAAAAAGGACCTGACCGAGCTAAGATTCGAAGCGGGAACCTTCTTGCTGCTAGGCAACAGTACCACACACTGGAACACTGTGTTGTGCATATTCCTGAATAAATTTGTATTTCAATCAAGTGATCGCAAACTCATAGCAAACCTGAGGCAGTATACCATCACAAAAGAGGAGCAGTGCTTAGTTTTGGGGGGTTTAGCAAAACAGGAATGGCAACGTATATACATATACATATACACAATGCTCTCACTGTCTTTATCTATAAATAGAAGATATTCATTCTGCTTGAACACACACACAATCAGTGCATCTATGTGCAGCACTTTCTCTACCACATATCTTGCATACACTGCAGGCACGGGGGTCAGGAGCACTTGGGGGTACTCGGCAGGCGAAATGAGGAAGACTGAGATCGAACCACTGACCTTCTGGTAAGTGGACAACCCGCTGCATCTCCTGTGCCACAGCTGCCCCAAACTGCTTCCTCTTTTCACAAAGCCTTCACAATGCTTTTCTCTGAGTGAATTTCTATCTCCAATGACCAGCATGGTTAAACATGAAACACTGCCCCTCTGTGGACATAGTGGAGAGTGACTGTGTTTGGTAACGGTATGTGGAGCAGTCTTGATGTGGAGGTAGAGTCACCTCACACCTCAAGGGGGAATAAACATGTTGAGCAGGTTAAAGAGACCTATGGTCGACTTCCAGGAACCTGTCAGCTGAAGAGAAAACAAACACCTGACATGACCGCTCAAACTACGACTCTTACACTTGAGGAATTTCAATGTGTTGGCTGTTTTGTATAATTTGATTAAACACAACTTTATGAATGTTGATACAAATCTAAATGCTAATCCTAACCTTCTAATGTCTTTTATTAACTGATAGAATTCAAACCATGACCCAAAAATACAAATTTCCACCTTTTTAAGAACTCACTAAAAAATGTTGATTAAAGACAACGTTTTAAATGTTTTTTAAGGTTTTATGCAAAGATTTTTCACCCCACAGTTGCCAAGGGTTTTCTCATTGTGCAAACTGTTGTATTTTTGTACAATATTTAATTTATTATTATTGTCCTCTCATATTTTTAATTATTTTTGCCTTAGCACATTTTCACTTACTACCTGTTATATATAGTAGCAAATACCTTTTTCAGTCCATTCACTCTATGAACATTTAAGAAGCTCATGTTTTTTACTTGTATGTATCTTTTCTCCTGCATCCGTGACGCTTCAAATTCTAAGAGTGACAGATTGTATGAACATGATTGTGATAAAAAGAAAAGTTGAAAAGGTCTGCAGAAGAGGAAACGGAATTATCGAGCAGAGCAATGGTGGTTAGCAACAGGAAACGTGTGTTTGTAAAGAGAGATAAACAGACAGAGGGAGGGGATCGATCGTGTGTGTGTGTGTGTATTTAAAAGTATGAGTCACAACAGAGTTACTGCATGAAACTCTCAGAGATCCTCCCAGCAGTTGAGGGCTGACGGTACAAAGGAAGTTTTAAACTTGCATTTGGAGACATTGTTCACATTCCCCAAAACGGAGCCTCAGGTAGAACCTATGGTGCTGAGTTACATTCCTTCCTTTTCCATAACTTTTCTGCCGCCAAAGCAAAGTGTATCCATATCCAGCCTGACAAGTGTGGCTGTTCTTAGTCTCATCTGCTTTGTCATTGCCACATGTGTGTCTATCTTCAATCACATTCTTGAAAGAAAAATTGTATGACACCACAGAGCTGGTTAAGAAGCCCATTGATTTCAAATCTGCACGAGTCACTTCAACATTGATAGCTGCACACTGACTGATGACAGATCCATGTACAGCAAAGCAGATAGAGTCATTTTCCACCATCAAAGTATCCCTTTAGGATTTGAGCAACTCGCCTCGGGAGCAGCGTCCAACTTTTCAGAAGTGGATTTGGCTCAATATGGAATCTCCACCAGACACCTGCTCAACTTAAAGGTACAGTGTGTAGAATTTAGTGATATCGAGTGTATTCTTCTTTTTAAAAAGTACCAGGCCAAACATCCGGCACCCATTTTTGATACGTTACTGCCCCCTGCTGGGCAATATTATCTTCCTGCAATACTGGAGGGCGAGAACCACATTTCTTGACCCTATAATTTTAAAGGTTTATTCCACCCAGATACTATTTTGTTTACTGTCTACTATTTGTGAGGATAAAGTTTAATTAATATGCTCACGGGCTATTTACGGGGTATAGCCTCATTTCATTGTCATTCAAGTTCAGATGTGGCGTGATCTCATGTTGTAGAATATACGTCAATCATGGTGCACTTATAATTTTGAAGATGTATTCCATATATACTTGTCTAATTACTTATGTGGGACATTGAATTTGTAGTTTCTGTTAATTGATACAGTAAAAATGTGTTATCTGGAGCATGTGTGCAGTCAGAGCCCCAAAAACCATCAGTCATTTCCAGACATTATGTTTTGACAGTAGAGCAAACGTCTGAATTCATATTAACGTGCAGATGTGGGACTATAAATGTATTATTTCTTTAAATTAATACAGTAAAAATAGTATCAAGACTTCACGTCATATCAATGAATCAATGAGGTTAGATTTATGTCTTTTGAAATTCACCATGTAATATCTGTGAATAATTCCAAAGAACATTTTACTTCACCTTATTGACAGTTTCTTCCAGTTGAAGCTCATCCTGCAGGTCTCTGCTCTGTGCTGTTTCAATGCATCTGTTGTAAAAGGCTTAAAATATGGGAGTACTCCAGACTGAGATAGTGGGAAATATAGGATGGGCCCCAGTGCACGCACATGTGCACACACAGACACAGGCTGCTGGTGGTGGTTCTCATCAGAAGCTGGCACAGGGCCCACATTTAATCTAACAGCTGCCCTGGACTCAGAAATCACATTTTCATTTCACCAACTATGAGGCTCATCAACAACAGCTTTAAATTCAGCCTGTGCTAATATAAGCTACACAAACTCAGTCGATGAGCACAGAACAGCCATCAACAAACATCATCACAGGTCCTACAGTATGAATGATGACGACACAGCACCTGATCACACCATCACCTCCATTTCTAGAATTCATCATTCGTCATCAAAGGCCAAATGTTATCAGACACAGATTACAGCAGGTGAGCTTTTCTTTTTAACATCTCGAAGGTAATAATTCAGTCAGTTCAGAGTGAAATCCCAGATTCAACTGCATAACAAAGAAGAACAAGCTGTGCTCATCCTCCGGCCTTGTGCTCAGCCAAGTCACTGACAACACTCAAGTCCAGATTCCTGCCTCTGTTGCTCTCTATTGAGAGTATTTCCAGGCCACTGAGTCTTTCGTGTCCCATGCTGCTCATTAGATAGGTCTTAATGAGCTTCAGTTCTGAATAAGTGTGCTCTGCAGTGGCAACAGTAACGGCTATGGTGAGATACAGTCACAATCATCGCTGAAAGAGGCTATTGAGCTGTGCTCCACAATGAGCATCTTGGCTAGATCCTTCAAAAATGGATTGTTATGCTATTTTGGATATAAAGCAGGCTCTGAATACAGTTAGTTGGTCAACTCAGGGATAAATCTCTGCCTGGCTCATCCATGAGGCCCATGGGTGGGCCCCCAACACCCTTTGGGCCTGAAGATTATGCCGTTACTTATCAGCATAGGATCTATATAACAATGCCTCCTCTTTTGACGCTATGAGCTTCCTCATTTCCTTTAGGAGCAAACACCCTGTAAATCTGTAAATCCAAGCACTGCTTTACCTGAACCCCGTATAACAATCATGTGTCCCGACACTATTCATCCTTCAACACGACAATGTCATAATGTTACCATCATGATGAAATGCAATCTTATAGGAACTGAAAAAACTCAAACCATCCACAAGAACAGACTTCTCAAATGCCATTAAGCTTCAAAATGGTTAATCACTGTAACACTGCACCCTCACCCCTCCTTCCTCTTGCCGACATCACAACAACTCAATTCATTCATTCATTTGAATACGATTCAAGATTTAAATCTGTCTCCCTCTGGCCATGGTGACCTCTGCTTGGCACCGGGTGTGTCCTCGTGCCTCCAGGATTTTTGATGGTAACCTGAAACAGTTAAATGATCCAATCTTGTGAAATATCAAACATATCAATGAAGACTATACACTGCAGTGTAACATCAAAATATGTTTATTCAGTTAAATCATGAAGTTTCTGCAATGCCACCAAGAATCTTACCTCTGGTGGCATGACATCCACGACAAAATCAGCTGTTCAACTCTCTGAGTCAGGTTTTGTGTATCCTGAATGTGCATGTGCCGACATCTCTTGCAAAGCAAATACTTGGAATGAACACCAACGATGAGGATAGAGCAGGTGGGCTGATATCAGCTGTAGGTGTCCGTGATGGGCGTGAGACCAATGAGGTTGTTTCACCTGGCGTTGGTGTTACATCACCCGATCTCTTGCATCCGCTCACATGTAACACCATATCTTCTCTGCGCATGATTGTTTTAGCGCAGTTTGGACAGTGGTAATGACCAGTCCCTCTGCACGACATGTTGCATCTGCAAATGATGGTGTCTGCAAAGAAAAAGTCAACTTACATAAATGTATGATTTGATTTTACAAAAAAAAACATGTACAAAACAAATTCCTAACTTGTGTATGCAAACACAAATTAAGGCAAAAACATTCAGCATTCAATTTTCATGTGAAAGTCATTTTTCGGTCATCTACTTGCCTTGGAGATGCACTGCATTATGTACGTGGGCATTCAGGTGTCTCCGTATTGTGTCGCCTCGTGAGGTGATGAATTTCGGGCACAGAGGACAACCAAACTGTTCAAAACCGTGGAGGGATGTGCTCACCAACTGTCGTCCACCCCTGATTATAGATGGGTGCATCTGGAAAACAATTCAACCTTTTGATTATTATGGGTCATTCTAGATTATTTCAAACTGAATTTAACAGGTAACACACACACAGACTAATTTATGAGCTGGCTTGCCTGACAGTTCCTACTATGGTTAGTTGTGGTTGTAGTCAGGTGCATGCTTCACTGCAAGCTCCGGATCTCTAAGTGTACTGTACATCCCAGTCAACCCATAATGCCCAGCAAGCTAATGCATCATGATTCATGTTTTTTCTCAACAGTACTGTATCCACCTATCACTTATAGAAAACTACAGATTTTGAATAAGTGCTTACCATTACTTAGCCTGGCATTAAATTGCTAACATTAGCTCACTAGTAAGAGTCACTTGGAATTTTCAAATCAATTGTGACTATATCCCTCTGTGGATTATTCGACATATTAAAGTTTGATAAACAAACTTTGGAAAAGCCCAAAAAAGTTCTTAGAACTTAATTAAAATGTTATAAAACACTCACATGCACAATGCAACTGCGAAGGTACCTTTTGCACATGCGCCTACAGAGGTGGCTATTGCGCATGCTCTTGCGGAGGCGCCAATTGCACATACTCATGCGGAGATCCGCCATTATGGCTGCATCCAGGTCCCTCTCCATTAGTGTCCTCTTGAAAATGTCTTGAATTTCAATATGTATAATGTATACCAACTATATTATTCTATATGTCTGCCTCTCAGTGTGAAATTCCCCTATTATATGTTTATATATATATATAGATAGATAGCTAGATAGCTAGATAGATAGATAGATAGACAGGGCACCACCCATCAAAGCAAAGAAAAGCCAATAGCCAATTCACTGAATCAGTGTCGTTAAATAGGTTAACTATCAATTTCATCAATGATTTCATTAACAACTACAACCATAATCACCAGATAGGCCGTTAGCAAAAGTTAAACAGTTTTGATGTCTATTGATTAGAGGTTGGCAACATTCAGTCTTGTGAAACCTTAAATAGACCAGCCTTTATCTTCAGAAACATCTACCTTGAGCACATATCTCACGAATGCCGAAAGTTAATTGCTGAGTTTGGTGCTGTTGAACATCAAATAAGAATTTGTTCCTCAATTCGGATGAAATTTGAATAAACAAGCGACAATGTGCCAACCATTCAACGTCCTCCTAAAAACTACAACAGTGGTCAACAACTGTAGGTCAAAATCACAGCTAGGTCTTTTGATAATTTCATTATTTTAATTTCACATATCGGACTGAGACACAGACGGACTGACCTGTGACATGTGCAGACACACAAACTAGAGCAACACACGCAAGAAACCTTTTCAACCACTTAAAAAACATCATGGCCATGAATATGATGTGGCATCCAGCATGCTGGTTTTGGTTCTGGGTGCAGGTTGCCACCTTATATTCATGGACAGCCAGCCCCAATGGAGCACGTCCCAAAAACTCACTCATATAAGTTCATTCATATAAGTTCACCGCGACCTTTACTTTTAACCACTGAAATCTAATCAGTTCATCTTTAAATCCAAATGACTCATGACGACGTGAGTTATGAGCCTGTGAAGAGAAAGTGGCCCACACGTCATCTGTTGCTACCTTTGAACAAATATGGGATTGGTTTCTCCTGTTGGTTGTGACACCAACCAATCAACACTCACTTGGAAACAATCTGGACACCAGACATGGAAAAATGCCAAAGAGAACAGTGAAGTTTAAAGCTACTGAAGCAGCAGTAGTTTGGGACGAGGCTCATTTTTCATTTGCACACTTTCCATGAGGCTTGATATCATAGTATGAAGTCATTATTCAGTCCCAGGTCAACTCAGTCCCTCTAACATTTGGAGCAAGCAGAGTGAAGACAACACTTCTATTCAAAAAATGTTTTTAAAAAATTTAATTTTGGCAGATGTCACAATTGATACATATATTCCACTATTGTTATGATTCTAAGATTTCAGTAAATCCATTTCAAGCACTAAAAAAATTCATCAACATGTGTGAAGGTGTATTTTCACAACAGACTTGAAGAATTTCTACAAATGCATTAAACTTTTTCAACTTTAGGGCCAAATTATCGCTTTGCACGATGCTCTAGCTCAAAGTTGATCCTCTGTTTGTTGAAAGCTAAGATTGTCCTGAACAAAAACGAACACGTGGGTTTCATGCTATATGTTGGTGTCAATTTAAGAAGCTTAAATTTAAGAAGACATGAATTTTTACAGTACCTACCTCACAAACCAAACAATGCTACTTACAGTGAGTTTGTAATTGTTTGTGTCCAGACAGGACTGAGGTCCCATTGTCTATTTCTAACCGGCGTGGCTGTCTTCAGACTCAGGTTCAGAAAAGTCTTCAGTCTTGAACACAGTAATGTCAATCAGGACCTGAATTCGTGGCTGGTTCTGGTCCATCAGAGTCCCCTCTGTTCTCCGCAGTCTGACTCGGATGAAGCTGTGAGGACTGACCAATACACCGATGGGCCTTTTGCTGATAAATCCAGCTAAATCTTTTGTTGCAAATGTTGCAACTGAGTGGTTTCTCTCCTGTATGAAGTCTGACGTGTATCTGCAGACTATCCTTTCGACTAAAACTTTGACCACACTCAGTGCAACTAAATGGTTTCTCTCCTGTATGAACTCTGAAATGAGCCTCCAGTTTGGCCTTATAACTAAATCTTTGTCCACAGTCAAGGCAGGTAAACGGTTGATCTCGTGCATGAATCTTTTCATGCATCTTCAGACGACTCTCACGGTCAAATTTTTTTCCACACTCAGAACAACTGAACGGTTGTTGTCGTGTATGAATCTTTTCGTGTACCCGCAGGCAGCTCTTATGATTAAATCTTTTACCGCAGTCAGAGCAACTGAACGGTTTCTCTCCTGTGTGATTCCTCATGTGTGCCTGCAGACCGGCATGATGGTGATAACTTTTACCACACTCAGAGCAGGTGAAGGGTTTCTCTCCTGTATGAGTTCTCATGTGGGATCTCAGATATTCCTTTTGACCAAATCTTTTGCCGCACTCAGAGCAACTAAATGGTTTCTCTCCTGTATGAATTGTCTCGTGTGTTTGCAGTTGACGCTTCAGCCTGAAATGTTTACCACACTCAGAGCAGCTAAACGGTTTTTCTCCTGTATGAACTGAAACATGTGTGAGCATGTCTCCCTTTATCCTAAATCTTTTCCCACACTCAGAGCAACTAAACGGTTTCTCTCCTGTATGAATTTTCACATGTGACTTCAGATGTTCCTTGAGGGTAAATCTTTTATCACACTCAGAACAACTAAATGGTTCCTCTCCAGTATGAGCTGTCATATGTGCCTTCAGATAGTACATACGACTAAATCTTTTGCCACACTCTGAGCAGTTCAATGGTTTCTTGTCAGTTGTACATCTCATACCACTTACAGGCTTAGGTTCCCTGGTCTCTATCCCATCAACATCAGAGTTCTTGGTCTTGTCCTCAGGACCTGGTTGTAAATGTACATCAGGACCAGAGTTCCTGGCTGGTTCTGGTCGTCCACAGTCCTTTCTGTTCTCTTCAGTCTGACTCTGATAAAGCTGTGAGGACTGGGGTTCCTCTTCATCTCCTTCAGGTTTAACAGTGTCAGGAGTATATGTGAACTTGATAATATCAGTCTGCTCCAGTCCTTGAAGCTGCTCTCCCTCCTGACTGATCCACAGTTCATTCTGTTCCTCTTTAATTTGTGGGGGCTCTGAGTCCTCCTGGTCCACACTGGGGCTCCAATCCTGATACCCAGAAGGAACTGCTGCCTCATTCACCTTTAGTTGCTGGACGTCTGCAGGGGAGAGTAGAGTGGGATGACATTTATTTAGTTATTTGCAGACGTAAAAAAAACACATTCAAAAGTTCAGAACCACACTCGTAAGGGAAAACTTCTACTTTGCAAAAGCATAGAACACAATCTGTGAGCATTTCTGCTCCATTTGCACAACTGCAGTTCTACGAGCCAGGAGCTGAGTCAAGCGTGAACTTGCACAACCCTACGTGCTCGCAACTCCTCAACACCACCCGACAGTTGTATCATTGAATTTTTAGACTTTGGAGGTGAGGACAATGTTGCTCCTCTCCTTTAATTGGTTACTTTGTACACTCCAGTTCCGAGCCTACCTCTGATCTTCTAACCCCTTTTCTCTTCATTTTTCTGCAGCAGTTGAAAACTTTGTGGATCATATACAACACTGCTCTCAATACAAAAAGCCTGTCTCCACCACCGCCTGAATCGGTCTATGACAATTCTATAAAGCTATAAAGCTAAAGACCCATTCATTTGAAAGCTGGTCCAGATGCCCCTGAACTGGGGCGGCCCTGTGATCGAACAAGTTCAAAAGGCAGAAATCCTTTAGTGTTTGCAACACTTCACTCCTGCAGCTGCTGACACAGACACAGGCTCATACAGGAGTTTAATGTGGCGCTGAGTGAAGAAAAAAAAAGAACAACTTCTACAACAAATTCTGAGTGGGACTCAGCACTTCAGTATTTATTTGCATATAGAGCATGTCACAGTTTTGTTTTCACATCATAGTTCTCTGTCCTCTCCTCTGCCTCTAATCACGCAATGCATGATGGTATTTATTGCCTTGTTCCACACTTCTTTTCATGATGCATTATTGGATACAGAGAGTTAGGTATAGTATTTCATTCAGATTCATAATAAACAGGTCTGTCACAATAACACATTTTGCTGGATGATTTATTGTCCCGGAAATTATAACATCATTTTGAGACAATTTTGATACCACTGATATGACAACATAGGAGCATAATAATGCAAGTACAAGCTTTCAAAGTGCAATAAACTTTTATTTTTTGAGAATATTCAGTGTGTTATTATAAAAATGTGAAACCATCTAAATAAATAAACCACACACAACGAAAACACCAAATAAAAAGGACTCTCCGGCTCTGTTGGTGGTTTGAGTAAAATTTAAATTTGGTACAAAGTATATTTTAACAGCTCGTTAAACTGGATGAGATGGTTACGCTTTAGATGAGTCACACAAACTGACAATGACGTTTTAGTTGTTTATTTAAATGATGCTGGCTAACCACGTCTGAGTGCAACTTCACTCTTGCAGCCAGCACCTTCATGGACATTAGGTTCAAAACTTTGCCTTGTCACACTGGAAATGTAGCTTATCAGTCGGAGACGCAAACCCTGAGCTATTGTGACACACAGGCAACATCTAGCGATCCCTGTTACTGCATCAACACCCTCGACGATAACAGCTTCATCAGTGTCACAAGGGTCTTTCTACACTGCCGGGGTGAGCTGCGTGGCTAAGCTGCGTCGAGCAGCATGACACTGCTCCTCTGTCCTCTGCAACAATGAAGTTAAAAGTGTGTGTGTGTCTGTTGGTCTCCGCTGCTCTTCACACTCAACATGACGAGCATATTTATTAAGCTATTAATTAACGGTGCTGGATCATGAATCAGGATTGCTCCCATCACTTTAACCCTGATGTCACGGCTGTGCGTGTCACACCTTATCACGTGTTGTGTGTCGCAGGTGTGTTTTAATACGTGTCTCATAAACTCTAGAGCAAATCCAAAAAACTAAAAGTAAAGTTCAGTCCTGATCAGGTCATAATAACTTCTGATTACCGTTTATTTTGAATGTGGAAAGAGAGCGCAGGTCACATACAGCAGGGTAATAGAGCATTGTACGAGGATACAGGCCTTATTACTTGTTTCTGCCCTGATCCAGATGTTGAGGTGTTCTGGTATTTATTTGAGTACATAGCCCGACTTTTACTGAGGAAATACAGTCCTTACACCAGAAAACTCATATTGAAAAACCGCTGCAGACACACAGCAAAAACTACCCATATGAACAACAGGAATGTTTCACGTCAATAACTTTGTTTTCATAAACCTTGGAAGCCGTAATCGTAACTGAAATTCAATGAATCGCCCTGCCCTGCCAGACATCGTCCAAAGGGGTTGTGTACGTGACAGTCTCCGCACTTTCTGCAGACCATCTCCAGCCAGTCCCCAAGTAAAGAGTCAGCACACTGTCCGAAGGTGCTGATGTGAGAAAACTGCAGGAGACAGTGCCAGTGTGTTGGGGAAATATCTGACGCGCAACAGAACACAACAAAACAAACACAAAGAAACCAAATATCTCAGGATGAAAAAACGGAGCCACACAGGAAGAGATGTCAAGAGGCTTCTGGTGATAAGAGCCGACGCCGGTGTTGATGTGCTGTGAACAAAAACATGCGATCTCTGCAACGGCATCGATATGTTACATCCTGCTTCTGCACCACCCTCCACCAGAACACTGGAGATGTGTGTGTTGTTGTGAACACGAGAATCTCCTGCTGCATTGTTCATGTGTGGAAGGCAAACCAGAGAACATCCAGACCCAGTTCTCCAAACATACTCCGGAGGGGATGTTTGAAAACCGCTTCAGTCAGCGAATCTGCTTAAAGCTAAAAAATGCCAACATGGTTTCTTTCCCTGAACGTTAGAAATATAACCTTTTTTGCCCAAACATTGCTGAGGACGTGTTCAATGTTCTTTACAGATTCTAACTCGTTAAAAAGATAACTTGCTCTTTTGCTTACTCTTAAGAATATAAGGAAATCTTTATAAATAATCTAATTAAGTCAGTAAAATGCTGACATCTGTCTGTTTAGATTTTAGCCCTAAAGAAATAGTTGAATGTGTAGAAAGAAGATCACGATGAAGAAACAGCGAATGATTGTGTATATTTTATGTTGTTGGTATTTTATCTTTATTTGTACACTATGGTATTTCTAATAGTTTGTACTACAGGCTGTCATGTGATTTGTGTAATACAATAAGTTTGGTGACGCCCATCTCTTAAACACGATCATCCATCTCCTGCTCGGCATCGCTCGGGTTTTTCCGGCTCCAGGGAGCAGGCACTGACCTGCTCGGTGCAGCCTGACTTCGGGCTTCAACACGGC